CGCTCCCGCTTTCCAATCACCTTTTTTCTCGCTTTTTTGACCGCTTGTTGAATTTGACCGGACAATTTCCGCTTTATTTTAGACCGCGCAAACCCCGAAATATCACCGCTCGCTCGCACGCATTTAAAATTCGGACTAACAGAAAAATTCCGAGGTTCACATTGTCTTATAATTGTCTTTATGGTTTTTATAGATGTTGAACAGCTGACAAAAGTTCAAATACTTTTCGTTTTAACTATCTATAATTATATGCACGCAACCTGACCCTTTGGCCTTGATTTGGCTTGGACTGAATATTTTATTTTAAACAATATTCTGACGTAAAATACAAAATGTATTTCAACACAATGTGTTCCGAGACGAAGACAAGCTGAAGGACCATGAAGCTAAATGGCAGTTCCATGCATGGGCTGACGGAAAGAAAATATTTCTAAGCCTAAAATAAAACCTCGTCTTTCGTTGATAATTTCGATTGTTTGGAATGTCTGTACACCGTGTCCCAATAATTTGTTTGGAATGTCGATCCCCGTTGGTTTCTCCCACAGTCAGCTGGCATCAGTGTCGCTGGGTGTATATGATAGAGCACAGTCCCTCCACTGTGAATAGAGGGAAGTTGTGCAACCAAATTTGCCGAGTTCGCAGTTTTTCGCCGATAAAAAATAACTAAGGCAAAAACTCACGCATTTTTGTAATAAAGACATTATTTTCTATCAATAATCCGCCCAAAATAGGAACATTTCTACTCAATTCTTGTGTTTTTTCGATGTTTTTCGAAAAACCTGCGATTAGGCTGCGAAAGTAGAACATGCCGGAGGGGGTGAAGAGCATCGCAGGCGATGGACGCGGGGTTCTTTGGCAACGACCGCAAACGTTTTCATATCCAGCCATTGGTTGGCCACACAGAGGTCAAAATACGCGTTCTATTTTTATGCGTTAAGTTTGGCTCTTCCGTTTCACCGCCTCCGGAATGTTCTACTTTCGCAGCCGTGTGAATCTTGAGTTTCGAAATTGTTCATCGACATGCCACCAAATATTTATGGCTATAACTAAATTGCTAAGCCCAATAAATTATTCATACATGTCAAGCTCTGTTCGATTTATTCAGGGCATGTGGCCGTTTTTAGTCGAAAATATTTTTGTGGGAACAATTTTACGTATACGGTTTAGACCGAAGTCATTCAATGATCGTGACTTAATTTTAAAAATTGAATGTCAAATTTTACCAGACATGGACCGACGTGGATTCGGTATCGTTATTTTTGGAATTAATCATTAACATTTCCTCGTTTCTTTGCTCTGTCAAAATGAGTTACCTATGTTTTTTTTCACGTAACTGTCTCATTAAAATAACATATTACATTTAGAACAAGCACCCAAAACACGCAACAAGAGGTTCCAGTTCAGTTGCTTTCACGATACAAGTGTCATACAACTATTAGATTTGAAGTGCTGTTCAGAATTTACTAATAGTTAATACTAGTTTGTTGTATGTTCACACTATCAAAATCACCATTTCGACCACTTCTGCGCCAGTGATCAGTGTTTGGACGAGCGATCAGTGTTTTCAATGAGCGAGCGACCCCCCCCAAAAAACGCAATTAAAATGCGGTCGGTTTCCGGTCGGACAAGACCGCATGGTCGGAAATTAAGCGTTAAGCAGTCGATGTAAAAGCGGAAGGTCGGGCGAAATGGGTACTGTATGACCATGTTTCTCCGACGAAGTCTCGACTGACAATGGACGTTAGATAAACACACATTGTTTGCGACGGGAAGCTTATCGCCCGTTATATCAGAATCGTCAACAACAGAGTATACAGATAAGATGTTATCATTTAAACCCTTTCAAAGATAAACAATGTGCAAATATCCACGAAACGGCAGTTGTAGTCTTTTCTGCTAGCGTTTTAAAACACTGATTTGAGCGGCGTTATTTCGCAATTTCGATCTTTCGTAAACCTGGGATGATGTATCAAGGTCTAAAGTGAACGTTTAATCAATTTTTGAAAAATCAAGAAAAAAGTGAAAATTTCCCTTCTCGCTACCATAAGTCAGCCGTCGAGTACAACAAGTGACTACATACAAAGTAATAATTTTAATTAGATTGATAATAAAATGGCTTGTTTTGAGTTGACAGTTATTTTTCTTTTAATGAAATATAAAAGTTACATACGTTTGTTTCTGTACAGGCTGCCAGATATCACAATGCCTTCACATCTTACTAGTACAACACGCTGCCCTATAAAATACACAATTTTTTTATAAATAATTAACATATAAAATCAATTTGATACGACTTTGGGAACTATTGACACAAAATCTGTTTAGGTTGTCAATATTTTGGATTCAAATTCATTCAACATGTTACCTACCTTGTAGGATTGTCTTTGCCGTAATAGAGGCAAGACGACCCAACAGATGCCCTCGGGCATCTATTAGCAATGGCTGAAATATGAATATAAACAAGATTATTGAACGTCATTGTCAATCCCGGAGAAAGCATGAGAATGATAATGAAATGCATATTATGCGTATACCTCAACACAGACGAACATTATGGACAAGAACACACGCACTTGCGATGCTATCCAGATACAAAACAGACGTTCGGTGCAACTACACATGTATACGACCAATCATTGCTGAAATGGTTGCAGGGCAATTGCCACACGACAATCGTCGTTTAGGGAATTGAATGCCAGCTTCATTTGTCACTAGTATGATACTTGTCCACTCTAACGATTCAGGTTTTAAAATGTCAGCACCAGTAAAAGAACGCTACCATCAAATATCGACACGTGCAAATGAAAAATATCTTCCATAACATGGTCGCCGCCATCTTGAATCGAAACTGGGAAAGCATGTTCCTTGCTAAATTAAAATGCTATCATTGACTTCCTCGTTAATACTCGAGCACATAAATGTCAACAAATAGCGAAAAAACATATCAACTGAAACATAACCAACATAATTTACTTGGGGCCTGTCAGCGTTGTCTATGAAATTGCTTAATTCATAACCCGGTGCATGAACCAACCTTTCCCAAAGACATGGCAGAGCGGAAGAGATCGAACAGTGTACGGGTTTCCCGTACTGCATTAGAAGAAGTTTTCTTTTACAGGGGACCAATATATTTTCTGGATAAGAATAGTTTATTAAGACGGTATATAATAATAAATAATACACATTCACAATTCTAATACAAAATACAGATGATATAATATAAAATCAAAAATTCATGGCGTAATATTAATGTAGAATATATTTATAAGTGCTTGCGATAAAATGAGTTGCTTGAACGAGGTCAAACTGTTTCCAGTACAAATTGGCCGCATGGTGGCGCACTAAGAAAAACGCAACTTCGCTGGTTCCCGGCGTCCTTTGCGAATGGCAGGTAGGACTTGTGGCTTGTGGCTTGGTACGCCATGACACTTGAGGCGGGAACCAGCCAAAAACGCAACAAGACTTTTGCGACATTTGCCCAGTATCAATCCTCGGGGGCGGAGCTACGTCACAAGATGTTCTACGTTGCTACGACGCGCACCACTGTACATGCATTTCTATGGGCTCTGTGCGCGCTGATGTGGAACGCCGGTCGAGCCGGTGAAAATTCGAGAAAACAACACAAACTCAACTTTGAAGTAATCCCGAACAACCAAATTTATATATGTTACACACGTAGGGCTAATCTTGTTACACTGTTCAGAGGAGTCTCAACAATCATCCCAGAATACCGTTTTCTGCGAGTTTGGGGCCATTGTTTTCACCTCCTCCGGTTGCCAGGCGGTGAAAATGCCCGGATGTACGCCCCCGAGGATACTCAATCATAGCCTAATTGTCTACAAACGTTTGCGAAAAAAATAACCCATTGTTAGAACAAAAACATCAAAAGCAAACCCTATTTGAAATGGGCTCCCGATTTTTGTACGTCATGTACGATGTACGCCCACCTATGCGAAATTTTGTGCCGCCGCCTCTGTCAGTGGATAGGCACATAGGGCGATACTGAAAACAGTAACCTAAGGGGAAATTCTGATTAACAATAACTTTATTGACTCTAACTCAAGCCCTAGGGGGAAAGCAAATGATCACAAGAATACACAAAACCACTAAAATGCTAACAAAGAATTAAAAATAAAATATGACTAAAATGCAAAAACAAAATTAAAGGAAGAATAAAAAAATGTTCTAAAAGACCAGTTCAAGTAAGAAATATAAATATAAAACATCTACATTCTGGCTAGAAGTCATGCTTATGATACAATAAAGTAGAAAGGCGGAAACAAATTTAAAAAATAATAACTAATAAAAATGCACTATTTAATACAAGAAAATAAAGGTTAAAACATTTGTCTTGCATTTAGACTAATATTTTGAGGAAATTAGCAATCTCAACAATTTTGCATGTTTGGTTATGAATCCCAGCACTGACTGGCATTCTTGGCTTTGCATATCTGCTAGTCTCTATTTTTAAGCAGTGGATACTGAGGCGTTACATTGTTTTTCCTTTAATTTTGTTGTACCACTTACTGTTCTCATGGGTATGAGTCAACACCACTTATTTTAGTAATGCGTTTGTTGATTTATGACTACATGAATTTTTGGGTAAATTTACACAATGTTTTATTCGCATTTTTTGTATATTATAATCATTATATTTAATGCACAGAAAACAGTGACCCTGGTTTTATGTGTGCACAAAATAAAGTTACCCCAATGGCTTACATAAAAAATATGTACCCTCCCCTTAAAAACACTGGTCCCCCCTGTAATTTATGCCCAGTCCCTTATTTCGAAATTATTCCGAGTTGCATGTTTATTTGCGTTTGTAGAGGCTTCCTGATAAGTCACACACGTAATTTAAAAGATATGTTCATTGAAACATAAAAAAAATCGAGATTTCACTTTCAGACCGTCACCATTGCAGGGTGGCGTGTTATGGTGATGCCGTACAAAAAGTTTTCACCCTGTGAAAATGCGTTCCCAAATCTAAAACGACCACAGTCATAATAAGTTTTGTAGTGCGATATTAAGTTGTTCCTCAATATATATAAGTTTGTGTAGAAGCAGCTTTAAAGGGTTCATTTCAGTCGAGATTTGGCCGTTAGTTGTTCCCGTAGATACTCGTAGATTCTCCTACGATGCAAAATGGTCGTCGAGTATCGCTCAAAGAAAACGACTGTTCACATTTTTATATTTTATATGACTAAAATTTTGAAGAGCTGCTGATTTATATCTTAGCAATTACTGAATCATTTTGTTGGGGGAATAAACAGGGAATGAAAAAAAAAACGTATTGCGTTTATCTCAAAGGGCGGTGGGGTTCGCACATGTAAATGATAAACAATGTATTTTACACCCGTTGTGTATGTCGCCTATGAGTCCCATATCGAACAAGACGCGGCGCGACGACTGTCACCCTTTAACATCTTGCAAAAAAATTATCCATGTTTTTTCCGCACAATACACGTTTTTGTGTTGTAGCATGCGCCGGGAACATGTGTACCGGGTTCCAATTCAAGTGCCCCTCCCGGGGATTTTTTGAATGGCAATTTGTTAAATAATGAAAATACATCCAATATAATGAGCTGCATCACATCAACTACAGAGTGAAGTTAAATACTTGCAACAGTTTATCGCATTAAACAATTAGTCTCTAAATGGTCGGTCTTGAAAACTGAAATTCTAAAGGCAATAGACGAGTTTGGTCGAATCACTTCCGGTTACCCAAACTATGCAGTAATAAGCTGATACATTTTGTATTTTACTATACAAATTGTTCCAAATATGTTGTATTGAAGCCGCACCCGTTACCTTTGTAACTTTACGAAATGTTTCTAAAATATAGAAAACGTGTTTTACATTCACACATACATATTAATAAAGTTTGAGACAAATGAAATGGATAACATCTTTGTAATTGGTGCGTACATTTGTAAGATATTTCTGAGGGATATTATACGAGCACTACCGAGGCATAATCTTCAACTTGTGAAAAACTGAGGCAACCGGGGCTCCCGGACGACGGTTATAAAATCAGTCTGTGTCCATCCCTGTGCTGAGTAACGTAGCAACAGGGAACCTATTAGCTCACAAGTCTTGGGAGAGGATCAAATTGGTACTGAAATGTTGATTCTAGGCAGTATTTTTTTTATCAGTTAATTACAAAAATATTCAATATTGATCGTTTCAAACAATTCCAAAAGTCTTAGAACCCGAACACATAATTTGATAACCTGTTTAAACTTAAAACAATACTAGTATGCAAAACAGATACTAGTAACTCTAACAAATAAAATAAAATGATGCATGCTGGCTTTATTGACCTCAAGTGGGCATTTGGCAGCGCGTGGTGTGATGGTCTATATCATAAATTGCTGATTCAGAAAAAAGAAGGTTACTGGTAACATGTATACAATTATTTAAAATATGTATGACAATGTGTACTATAAAGTCAAAACTATAGTAACGAAAAGTGTTTATTCAACGACATGGGTCAAATAATGCTTAGTCCTAGTGTATTTAATATTTATTTTAATTATATTTTAACAAAAGACAAAGTAATCCTTCATTTTCGATGAACCACCACGTTAGCTGTCTTCTTTATGCAGACGACATTGTGAGTCTTTTCAAATCTAAAGATTTTCTACATTATATCATGGACGTATATACAACAACACGGAAGTTAATAAGTAAATACAGAAAACATTGGTATTTAACAAATCAAGCAGCTCCAGCATAAATAGGATTTTTCTTTTTTCGCATCATCGAGGAAAAGGTATGTACATGAGGAAAAAAATATCTGTTCTCGTTGTTGTTGTTGCTGTTGTAAATTCACTGAAGATGTGCACTTATCGTATTGTCGGTTTCTCTCTGAACTCTAAAAATGCGTAATATAAGTAGCATGACATTTTTTCAAGTATTAGACCAATTTTGTTTCAAGTAGCAGACCAATTTTGTTTCAAGTAGCAGACCAATTTTGTTTCAAGTAGCAGACCAATTTTGTTTCAAGTATTAGACCAATTTTGTTTCAAGTAGCAGACCAATTTTGTTTCAAGTAGCAGACCGATTTTATTTATGAGCCACAGTATATGTGAGTATGTACAAGCGATGTGGTATATCATGCATACGAATCGCAGTGAGGGATTCTGGTAGTTAATGACTTAAAACAAGGTTACCTCGAGTAATACACAACATTCGCACAGAAGTCGGTGATGCTTCTATGTCGATCTTCGGCTTAATGAACTCTAGTTCTTCAATTTATTGGACACACATGTAAAACGAACGGAGATAGCAATATATTGAATGAAATAAATGGATAATAGACATATCTAACAATATAGTTTCCTAACCGTTCTTCTAGTAACCGTTGTGTAAACAATGAAGTAAAGACTCGTAGATTACCAGGCGTCACGTGACTGATCGGCACAAAGACTTACGTCAACGCCACAATTCCCAATTTTCGAGTTCTCCATGGCAGCTAATTTACATATGCATTTCAAGGTTTCGCCGTGCGGGGTGTACTCCCAGTGGGGTTGTTTTTTGCTGTTAACAGAAGCGTAACAATGGAAAATTTGCATTCGAAAAAAGTTTCTGAATTACGTCAGTTTCTACAAGAACGAGGAATAACTTGTTGCAATAACAAAAGGCCAAGCTGATTGAACTCGTGAAACTTGCAAATGAGTTAAAAGTTTGCCCTTTAGAGCCTGACAATCGCGAAACCTCGAGCAAGCGTCACCGTACAATTCATGACAAGGAATCTACCCTGGCATTAGAAGATCCGTATACTATCAAAACCTGAGAGAAATACCCCCATTACATGCCATCATTCGAAACTGCAGATATATTTGGTTACTTAATACATCGATGTGACTGGACACCGTCCAAGTTAAAAGAATATCAACTTGATAATGGTTTTCTTCTGTACAAAGATGGACATGAAACAAGCCGAGAAAGGAATCCACCCCCTGCAAATTGATAATATCGATATAAGACGAAATAAATCGCATCCACCCACTGCTAAACCAACATTGTCATCTTACAACCCAGGAAGAAGATCATGCCATGAAAACAACGAAGATTTA